ATTATCAACTTCAACTGTTTTCCACAGTTGCTCTATTGACAAACACTCTAGCCACAATCACTGAAGTGACACAGCATGCTGAGCCAATCCCATACCATACTTCTGCTCTAACTGGGGCAGGGTGAGTTACCAAACTTTTGAATGGCCACCCCAAGAGGATTTGCACAGAACTTGCAGTTCATAAGCATGTCTTCAAGATACTGATACTGCTGCTTCAAGAACATGGCTACACCCATTCCAAGCACATCACACTTGAAGAACAACTTGCAATCTTCCTCTACACCTCTGTAACTGGCTTGTCAGTCAGACATGTAGGGGAGCATTTCCAGAGGTCAAATAGTACAGTTTCCAAGTGCATTTCTGATTCACATTCCTTCCAATATACTGATCACTGTTGTAGGTACTTCAAAAGAATTTTGTTTGCATTTTCATCTCATGATATATACAGCAAGTTTGTACAATTACCATGCAGTGATGACCCTGTCCACCCCACAATTTTCAATAACCCCAAGTTTGACCCATTTTTTGTGGATGCAATTGGTGCAATTGACAGCATGCACATTACATGCACTCTGAGCATGGAAGAAAGGGACACCATGCAAAACTGCAAAGACTTTACATCCCAGAACTGTCTTGTTTGCTGTGACTTTGAAATGTGCTTCACATACATGCTTAGCAGGTGGGAGGGATCTCTGGCTGATGCATTGATCTACCATGATGCTTAGCTGAGTGATTTAGCCATTCTGGATGGCAAGTACTACCTTGCTGATGCAGGGTTCCCAAACTGCCCATAGCATTTGATTCCCTTCTGAGGACAGTGGTATCACTTAGTGTTGCAGGTGTAGTACTCCAGCACTCAGCAACGCTAGTCCCTACTAGCACTTGGTGGTTAAACCACACCAAGTAAGCCTAGATACCTTGACCAAATAGCTCAGTGGTTAGAGCACCCGGTCGAAACCTGGGAGGTCCAGGGTTCAATCCCCTGTCTGGTCGCATTTATTGCAACACTTAGTGGAATGGGGCTGCATGCAATTATGGTAGGTGATTTTCACCACTGTCTTTTTCTCTGATTCACATGGATTTCTAGGCCAGTAAATGCTGAGGAGTGTTATAACCTCCGCCATGCTCAGCTTTGCAATGTGGTCGAGTACATAATCAGTGTCATCAGGTGGCACTTCCAAATTCTTGTCATACCCCCAGAATTTGATATGAACATTCAATCCCATATCCCACCAGCACTTTGCTGCATCCACAATATCATTCACAAGTATGATCTGCTGGAATTAGAAGATATCAAAGGCTTTGTATTGCCTCTGCCACCAGATGGATCAGCACATGCAGTTGGCTCAATTGCCAATGCTGTTCCAACTGACACAGACTGCCTACAGATGACAGAGAAGTGGGGTGTGATTGCACAAAGCATATGGGCTAGTTATGTTGCAGAACAAGGGAAAAGGGGGGATCCAGTTACCAACTAGCTACATATATCATTTGTTTTCCCTCAATTCTTAGACATCATTTTTTCAAATGCAAGTTGATGAGTGCAGTGTTCAAATCAGAGAGAGATGTATTGCAAGCTGATGTAAAGATGGATTTAAAACTACAAGGTATGAGTATGACATATGATACAATCACTGCATACATGCCCTGATCTCATTGAGCCTCTTCTCGAGCCAAGCACATTGAGCTGCAGCAAAACAATCAGGATCACTTGTGAATGATAAGTATAAGCTAGCATATGTGGCATTTGCCTGGAACTGGTCTGTGATCCAGGCAATATTGATTGGTGAGAACTTATCTACATCTATTGCAAGAAGTGTCTCTGTTGCCTTGTGGACCAGCAGATGAACTGGATCTTGCAAGAAGTTGGGCTTGGACTGGGATGTGGTTTGATAAGGTGCAGGTGAGCCTGCCATTGTTGTGATTGCATCAGTGATGGTGTTCATCTGGTTATGCATCAAACTGTGGAATTCTCCTAAATCCTCCCCTATGCACTCAAGTGTCACATCTACTCCATGTTGCTTTCAAGCCAATGAGGTGGATGAAGCTGCAGTGGATGACAGGGCACCTGATACAACAGACAGGCCATCATCATCATCTGCCTTCCACTTTTGAGAGCACTCCATATGAGCTGAGATGCTGGAGGATGGCTTGACAGAGCTGATAGATGAACCATTTAATGAAGTTGGGGCAGATGGGGGAAGTGATGGTGGAGGGTGCTGGGTATTGGGAAACTGTTGGTACAGGGGGAGCTGGGTTTCCACCTACCAGTGAGTAGAATGTGGTGTGGTTCAGAGATGGCAATGCTGGTGGAGCATGGTCCTGGGATGGTGTACTTCCCCCCATGCTCTCACTCTCACTGTTGGAAGGACCCAACCCAGCATTTGACAGGCCTCCAGCAGAATTGTTGATGGTCAACACTGAAAAGTGATTCAAGCGCTTGCCCTTGGAGGGCATGAGGTCTCTCATCTGTTTGTAGTGCACCCAACCCTTGTTTTTATAAGGGCCTGCATCCTTGTGGATCTGTTGATGTCACCATTAGCACAGGAAATTCCATGCTAATTGAATCATACCCATACCTTCAGATAGTTGTTCCATGTATCCTTGCTTGCAACACCAATATTGGCCCCTGCCTTTAGGGAATATGTGAACCCAGACACACAGCAGAGATGATCAACAGCTGCATATGTAGTTCATAGCTGCATGATATCAGCTGGTTATTCTGTCATTTGACTGATAAGCCACACAGTCTTTTCCATTTCTGTTTACATGCTTTAGGGGTCTTGATACCCCCTTTGACAGGCTCAGGAAGGGCTTCAGCAGCCACATTCCAAAATGCATCCTTAAAATTTAAACCATCACCAGCAGTTGCCTTGTGGGAAGCAATGAAATTAAGAAGGGCCTTGACATCATTATCTGACCACAACACTGGCTTGCCTTCTGTGGACTGCAAAGTATGTGATTTACCCTTGGAGGGTGATTTTGCTGTTTTATGGGGGCACATGACAATGGAAGGATGAAGAAAGATCAATGGACTGTGGAATGTCAGGCTCATAACCCCTGCACCTAGCATGGCATCTTGGCTGTCCACCAAGCATCTCCTCTCAAATTCAAGCTCCACTTGAATATTGGATGCTTATGTGATGAAGCCTGGGACTTTTTTCTGGGTCTTTTTTAGTTGGATTCTTGGTGGGACTTTGTTTCTGAACTGGCTCCAAGTAACCCCACTCCAGCCTAGATAACTCAAGTCCGATGTTTTACCCCTATCTCTGGTCCACTCTGGCCTCTCAGCCTTGCACTGCTCCACCCTGGTCTTCCCAGGTCCATGTCCAGGTCACCCAGACATAACTCTGGTCTGTTTTCTGGTATTTGTGCTATACTTAGTTTTAATCCTCTTGCCTGATCTCTGCTTACTGTACAAATCCTGTGTCTGACTCCAGTTATGCTGGTCACCCAGACTTTGGCTGTTAGTCTTGGCACAGCCTCTGTGGCTGTCCACCCCTTGCTAATCATCTTTCTAATAGCTTATCAACAAGTCTGGCTCTATGTTCATTACTCCAGACCAGCCTCATGTATTTAACCCCTGTACATACTTTGTAGCACCTCAGTCAGAATATCAACTTAGTATTACCCTCAACTCTGTACTACCCTCCAAGTCTACTCCATAGCTAAGGCTGAGCCTTAAGCTATCCCTGGCCCCTGTCCTGGACCTCTCCCCAGCTTGCATATGGGTGCAGCACATAAGCTGAGACCAGGGAGGTAGATCCAACCCTGGACCAGCTTCCTGATGCATGCACTCTGAGACCAGTCAGTTTCCCATGGTCTTGGTCTTATTCCCACACTCCCAGCCTTGACTCTGGACCTCCAGACTTGGCCCCTGACTTCTGGCCTTGACTCTGGTCAACTGGACTTAGCCCCTGTCACTCAGACTTGAAGCCTGGTTGCCTGAGGGTAAACCCATACTTGACACTATGTATGTAAGTTCCTTTTTTTACTGCAACAGCACTCCTTAATAAGATCATACTAAATGCATCTCAGCCCTCCTCTCTGAAGGCCAGTTGGATGTCCCATGATAGCTTCAGAGGCCATGATGGGATGTCCCATGATAGCTTCAGAGGCTACTGTGGGACATCCAACTCCCCTCTCTGGAGACCAATGGGAAGTCCCATGATATCTTTGGAGGCTGCAGGCACTTCAGTCAATCCCCTTTGGAGACCCATTAAGTCTATATATTTCTATAGGTTTATACAGTATATTTATGAGGTCCAAACAGGTTGGGTATACCCAGCTGCTGCCATGGAAAGTTTCTTCTCCAGTACCCTGCCTGGGGGCTCCAGGGCAGTCATTGATTTCTCCTGGCATGGCACTGATCACAGGTGTGTTGTGTTTTTCTCATGCAATTTTCCACTTTCTGATAAGATAAGCATACCATCATGATTTCAAAATCAGGAGCTACAACATTCATTATGATGACATTACTCCATTATCACTTGCTGGGGTATTAACACCTACTAGTGCTAGTTGTAGTAGTTGGTAGTACTGCATAGTGTAGGCTATGCTACACTTTGTAGCATGCATTTTTGACCATGACTGACTATGAAAAGTGTAGTGTGAGTCAGAGTGCAAAAGTCACAGGATCAATGCTGTAAGGGTCATGTGACCCCAAGTGCTCCAAATGTGCTGCCAGCAAAGTCACATGACATGACACTACTACCAAGGTAACAAGGGTCAAGTCAGTTTGGAATATGTACCAAGCATGGTATGCATATACCAATCTGAAAACATCAGAAGGTTGGTGACTTGCTTGTCATTGACTTCTGTGAGATGCTAACTTAATTACAGAGGACATGCAGAGTTACTTCAGCTGCCACATGCTACATTATGGTGCTCACAAAGATGATGAAGAATATCTGGAACTTTGGGGTGAGATTTGCAAGTAATGGAAGGAGAGCATAAGTGGGACAAAGGATATGAGCTCCAAGGCAATGGTAGGGCATGTGATGACCTGTAGGGATTTGTTCACACAAGCTGTAAGTATCCCCTGTTGCTGTCATTTATTCATGGATTAAATCCTTATGCAGGCACATATGTGGTGTAATGTCAAGGACATCCATGTATTTGGATGTGTAATCTATGGTGGCAATGACAAAGCTGCCTGCCAGGCTCAGGGCATCTTTGCCAGCTCTCCAATATGTATGGAGCAAGCAAGCAAGAGGCAGCCAAGTGTCATAAGGCTGCTAGATTACCTGGCCACAATTGTGAAGTAAGTACAATTTATTGTGGCTACAATTGTCCTTGCCATGTCTCATGTTACTCTAGATATAAAATCCTTAATCCTGGTGTTTCAGTTGCCTTACCTGACTTTGGGGCTCTATCATGAACAACATGTGACCCAGTTTTCATGTTGAAATCCCAAGAATCCAGGCATGATCATAATTGCCAAGTTCTGCCTCAAGTCTTCTTGCACAAACTATGTAAGTGCTGGCCACGTATCCATGACTGAGCTGCTACCAGATCTTCCTCACAGATGAAGTGGGTATCACAAGTGCACAGAGGAATGTCCCATGGAAGTCTTTACTGAACCTTCCCTACATGCACCAGCACACCATTGTTAATTGGCCTGCTGCTGTCCCCACTGTCAGCCCAGATTTCAACATCAAGGGCCTCAGTGCTGATGAGCTCCATGCTTTAGCTGTCCCTTTTCTGAAGGAACAAATGGGTGCTGAGTTCCATTCTGAGGTCCATGCAGATGATGATGGTGATGATTCCTTGGTGCTAGTACCCACTGCATCATGTGATCTCAGGGAGTGGACACCCAGTGAGTTCAAAAAATTCTACATAATTATATGGACTCTGACTTGAATAATCCAGAGCAGAAGGAGCTAGTTAAGATGGTTAGCCCAGAGATGTTTGAAATCCCACTGCTAGTAAATACATTCAACTGACCCCTTTGTATTCTTTCAGATTTGCAAGCCTTCATTAAAGCAATCCCAAAAAGCATGGGTCCCTCTGACTCAGAAAGGACACCCTTGCCACTTCCTCCATTATCACCCCCTGTTGAAGATTCAATGCAGTCACTTGTACATGGTAGCATGGGAGTGAATCCATCTGCAGACTATGATCATTCCACTACCCCCTCCTCACCCATGACCAATGTGCTGGGGGTGTTCCATGTGCATCATCCCTCTCCAGTGGGCTGGCATTCCCTTCACTTCTCCACAACCCCAGATGAAGAGTCACACCATGTGCACTGTCCCTCTCCAGTAGGCTGGCATTCTCTTTGCCATTCCACAACTCCAGATGAAGAATCACAGCAGCTGCCTGTGTGAGGTGGTTGGCACACACATCATGCCAATCAAGCAGCATCCTGCCCATCTACATCCTATAGTACTAGGCACTCCCACAGTTGCTCTCAGACTCTGTGTCCTTGACACCACTCCCAGCAGGCATCTCACAAGCATCATAGGGAATATCAGGTGAATTCAAGTGATGATGATTTGCCACACTTGCAACAGAGAACCCAGCACAGGTATCCACAT